CTAATTGAATCATAATAAATGCAGAAGAAAAAAAGATATTCTTTTTTGGGGGGTTTGCTGTCAGGTTGTGTAAGCTTAGGAGTTGTGGTGAGAAGTAATATTTTGAGTTGTATACCAAAATATTTTTAGATCTCAAATAAAAGATGCTTTAATTGACTTTATGATGAAGGAAACTTCTAAATATAATGTGTCAATGAAAGACTAGATTAAATATAAAACATGGGAATGGATGTTTCATTTGCAAAGTATGAAATACTAATAACAATTTAAAATTATAAAAAGGTTATGAAAAAGGACAAAGTAACAATTTAATAAGGCTATATACCTACATAAAATTGTTATTTGGATTTCTTATATTCTTTGGTAATTATTTAAAGATTTAATTATCAAATAATTCTAAGGAATTATCAAGAAATTTATTTTACGTTTCCAAGAGGCTGATACAAAACAGCATAAAGACACACACTCACATTAAAGGTTTATGCAATTGTGAATAATACCTTGTCAGAGTCCGCCAAATAGCACAAGTTCTCATGCATATGACCAGCTGCCAACAAAAACTCCAACTGAAGTTTTTCAGTGAAAGAGAGAAAAAAATCATGTTCAAGAACCCCAGGAAAAAAATTGCTGTTGATTTGGATGAAAAGAGTCTGAAGCAGAGGATCTAATAAAAATAGTTAACTTTATAGTCTTTTATTTGATATTGTTAACTGGGATGCTTGATCAAATTCTTGAAGAAATTTCACATTATATGAGTTAAACAAAACCTATGAAATGATACATTCATTGTAGGGCTCTGGATCTATATTAACATACTTAAGATGGCAATTATCAAGTAAGACTTTGCCTATATTTTGGAGTTGTGTTTTCTCTGTGCAGACATATCTCCTAAAATATCAAAACTAATATCTCCTAAAATATAATAAACAATTACACTTGTATTCAAAGTGAGGATTTCCAGTAAATAAAATTTATTCCATGTCTGAGATGGAAAAAACAAAGTAATTACTTGATAGTCGAGGGTAGCATTCATTAGGATAGAGAAAGATGGTAGTTAGCTTAGTTGATGCCTTTTAAGAATTTAACAAGTTGAGCTCTAAGATATAAAGACAACTATTGAAATTTTTTAGAGTATAAATTATTTTCTTTGCCTAGAATAAAGAGGAAAGACATAGATAAAGCTGGTGGCAGTTCACCAGATATATTTCTTCTTGATTTCTATTTAAAAATTTTAAATTTCATTCATGTTTATAGGCTAAATTTGGATGATTCATCATCCATAGCAATTAAAAGTTACTAGGAGGGAATATACATATATCTATAGTTAATTCACACTGTTATACAGCAGAAACTAACACAACACTAAAGCAACTATATCCTAATAAAAACTAACATTAAAAAAGTACTAAGAATAAAACTGATAATGCACTTTAAAAATTTGTAATAAACAATCATGTTTTATATTATTGATACACAATGAAAAATATAATTTTCAACAATGAAATAGTAACTACATTCACACTAGATAAACTCTGTAGGTATTTACCTAACTTTGTTTTGATGAAACTGATTAGAATTTATTAAACTGGAGATAAAGGAAGGAAGGAAACTCTTAAGATAAAATTATAATTAAGGAGATGATATAATAATGTGAACAAGCAAAGCTAAAGAACACTTTAGAAACATTTGTGGGAACAATGAAATGTCTTACAAAAGTCAACAATTCAAGATTTATTTCCATTATAAAGAAAGGAAGAGAAAGCACAATGGGAAATAAATAGAATAAGACAGCAATTGAAAAAAGTAAAAGATTTATCAAACGTATAAGCATACTAGTAAGATAAAAGCAAGCCAGAGTAAAGGATGTTCTTATAAGAAAACAGATGTCCACATCTATAGCACCTGAGATTTATTTTGGAATACCATAATGTCTGTCATCTCCTACATTTTTAGATACATAACATTTTACTTCGGTAGTATTTCTTCTTACCAAATACAGAGGCTTCAAGGAAAGAGCAGAACATATGACATCATTTTTTAACTTATTTATAACAGTCTGCTGTTTTCCTGGAACACTCATGTAAAACCATGATCAAAAGTAAATGTAAAACTTAACATGATAAACAAGCCATTGGTTTAAGTTGGATATCTAACTTTCATGCCCATATACACCCACTGAAAAATAGATTGAAATTACTTACTTTTTAAATAAATGCAGACAAATAATGCTACTTCGTAGTTAAATGAACTATACTATCCATTAACCTTTTTGTTGCCTTTTATTTGGTTATTTGTATTGTTTCGTCTTATCTCAAAGGCAAAACATAACTCAGATAAAGTAAACAGCAGATCAATATGTATAGTTATCTGTGTGTTTTCAATTAACATGACTTCCTATTAATCCTTATAAAACCATTCATATGACACTGATGCATCTTTTTATGTAGTTTATATCTAATATGTATTAATTTTTCATTTTACACTCCTTGTATGTATTACTATTTATTTTTAACATTTAAGGAAAATGTATGTTAACCAGTTATGTCTTTTAATAAGGTACCTAATAATTTCTTCTGCACTAATTGAATCATAATAAATGCAGAAGAAAAAATGATATTCTTTTTTGGGGGGTTTGCTGTCAGGTTGTGTGAGCTTAGGAGTTGTGGTGAGAAGCAATATTTTGAGTTGTATACCAAAATATTTTTAGATCTCAAATAAAAGATGCTTTAATTGACTTTATGATGAAGGAAACTTCTAAATATAATGTGTTAATGAAAGACTAGATTAAATATAAAACATGGGAATGGATGTTTCATTTGCAAAGTATGAAATACTAATAACAATTTAAAATTATAAAAAGGTTATGAAAAAGGACAAAGTAACAATTTAATAAGGCTATATACCTACATAAAATTGTTATTTGGATTTCTTATATTCTTTGGTAATTATTTAAAGATTTAATTATCAAATAATTCTAAGGAATTATCAAGAAATTTATTTTACGTTTCCAAGAGGCTGATACAAAACAGCATAAAGACACACACTCACATTAAAGGTTTATGCAATTGTGAATAATACCTTGTCAGAGTCCGCCAAATAGCACAAGTTCTCATGCATATGACCAGCTGCCAACAAAAACTCCAACTGAAGTTTTTCAGTGAAAGAGAGAAAAAAATCATGTTCAAGAACCCCAGGAAAAAAATTGCTGTTGATTTGGATGAAAAGAGTCTGAAGCAGAGGATCTAATAAAAATAGTTAACTTTATAGTCTTTTATTTGATATTGTTAACTGGGATGCTTGATCAAATTCTTGAAGAAATTTCACATTATATGAGTTAAACAAAACCTATGAAATGATACATTCATTGTAGGGCTCTGGATCTATATTAACATACTTAAGATGGCAATTATCAAGTAAGACTTTGCCTATATTTTGGAGTTGTGTTTTCTCTGTGCAGACATATCTCCTAAAATATCAAAACTAATATCTCCTAAAATATAATAAACAATTACACTTGTATTCAAAGTGAGGATTTCCAGTAAATAAAATTTATTCCATGTCTGAGATGGAAAAAACAAAGTAATTACTTGATAGTCGAGGGTAGCATTCATTAGGATAGAGAAAGATGGTAGTTAGCTTAGTTGATGCCTTTTAAGAATTTAACAAGTTGAGCTCTAAGATATAAAGACAACTATTGAAATTTTTTAGAGTATAAATTATTTTCTTTGCCTAAAATAAAGAGGAAAGACATAGATAAAGCTGGTGGCAGTTCACCAGATATATTTCTTCTTGATTTCTATTTAAAATTTTTAAATTTCATTCATGTTTATAGACTAAATTTGGATGATTCATCATCCATAGCAATTAAAAGTTACTAGGAGGGGATATACATATATCTATAGTTAACTCACACTGTTATACAGCAGAAACTAACACAACACTAAAGCAACTATATCCTAATAAAAACTAACATTAAAAAAGTACTAGGAATAAAACTGATAATGCACTTTAAAAATTTTTAATAAACAATCATGTTTTATATTATTGATACACAATGAAAAATATAATTTTCAACAATGAAATAGTAACTACATTCACACTAGATAAACTCTGTAGGTATTTACCTAACTTTGTTTTGATGAAACTGATTAGAATTTATTAAACTGGAGATAAAGGAAGGAAGGAAACTCTTAAGATAAAATTATAATTAAGGAGATGATATAATAATGTGAACAAGCAAAGCTAAAGAACACTTTAGAAACATTTGTGGGAACAATGAAATGTCTTACAAAAGTCAACAATTCAAGATTTATTTCCATTATAAAGAAAGGAAGAGAAAGCACAATGGGAAATAAATAGAATAAGACAGCAATTGAAAAAAGTAAAAGATTTATCAAACGTATAAGCATACTAGTAAGATAAAAGCAAGCCAGAGTAAAGGATGTTCTTATAAGAAAACAGATGTCTACATCTATAGCACCTGAGATTTATTTTGGAATACCATAATGTCTGTCATCTCCTACATTTTTAGATACATAACATTTTACTTCGGTAGTATTTCTTCTTACCAAATACAGAGGCTTCAAGGAAAGAGCAGAACATATGACATCATTTTTTAACTTATTTATAACAGTCTGCTGTTTTCCTGGAACACTCATGTAAAACCATGATCAAAAGTAAATGTAAAACTTAACATGATAAACAAGCCATTGGTTTAAGTTGGATATCTAACTTTCATGCCCATATACACCCACTGAAAAATAGATTGAAATTACTTACTTTTTAAATAAATGCAGACAAATAATGCTACTTCGTAGTTAAAAAAGTTAAGGGAACTCTATAATATGAGTTAGTAATGATGAGATTAATAATCTTTTAAATTAAAAATGAGGAAAAACCAGCATTGCATTGAATTTAGGGTAAAAGAATAGTATCTTCTTTAATGTTCAAATCTGCCTCCACTGGAAGGTTATGGTCAAGAAAAGAGCTGTCCATTTAAAACTGAAAAAGAAACATTACAGTGAAGTAGAATGACAGTGAGATTGTTTTTCAATTCCTTCAACAATGTTGTGCAAATTCTCCTGGTTTTGTTCAGATGTCATTTCCATATTTGTTGTCTGTGAAGGACAACTCATTTGAAGTTTTGAGAGTTGTGCTGGTGGATTATTTTTTTCTATTTGACTGTACATGTTAGCTACTGACTTTTCCAGTTCTGCTAAGTTTTTTATATGCTTGAGAATGCCTTTTGGTTCCCTTTGAGGATTTGCATTGCACAGTGTCGCTGATGTTGACAACTGCATCATATTGGATTTCATTTCCTTGGCTGGTGTCACACTGACAGTATGTTCAATAGCTGGTGTAAACGCACACTTGGTGGATGGAACTGACATCGAAGGAGGCAGTAAAGAAGGAAGAGGAGGAGATGCTGGAGGATGAGAGGGAAGTGAAGGTAGGAAAGGCGGAGGAGAACTAGACGCAGGAGGAGAGGGAACAGAAAGTAGAAGACGTGGAGGAGGGGGAAGAGGAGGAGGATTAGAAGGAGGAGAAGGAGGAGGACTAGACACAGGAGTAAGGATATGAGGCGTAAGAAGAGGAGGAGAAGGAAGCAGAGGAGGAGGAGGGGGAGGACAAGGAGGAGGAGGGGGAGGAGAGATTTTTAGTGGACAGGGAAGATTTTCAAAAATGTCCTTTTTGGTTTCAAAAGTCATCAAACAAGTAGGTGTCTCTCTGCTAAGGAACTCAGAATTTAAAATGCAAGGCATTGAAGGAGAAAGTTCCAAGGAACAGTCAGCAGGAGAAACAACAACATTAGGTTCTGATTTGAGTTCCACAGTTCTTGAAACAGTTGGCAAAGTGGAGAAAGAGCAGTGAGACCAAGGAGAGGAAAGCGAAGAGTCTGAAGACCGGGATTGCCACTGCTCTGTTGCTTTTATTGTCAGTGATTCACTTTCCCTTGTTTCCTCTTTTTCTGTTACATTTGCATCTTCAGCTGTAAGCAAGGGGCTACTGTTACCTCTTTTGTTTGGATTGGTCCCAGTGCTTTCATTTTCAGCTTTCTGCCTGTTGCTTTGCCACTGCTTTAGAGCTATGGTTTCTGATCTATCAGGAAGTTCCCACATTGGTCTCCTAGGTAAGCAGGTTGGGCGATTCCACATCCTCTGAATCTTTTCTCTTGGGCCCCTCAGAAACTCATTCTTGGCTTGTGTTTTGGGTACAAATGACTTCACAAAATCTGTTCTTAGTAAAAAGTCTGAATTTGTTGATCTTTGATCTGTGTATTCCTTGTAAATGGTACTGTGGTCACTTAAGGCATCCTCATCAGACATCAGTGTGAATTCTCTTGCAGACCTGAGCCAGCTGTTCTTAAGAGATCCATCTACGTGAGTCTGCTTGTGAGCCTCAACAGTGTTGGAAGAAAAGTGCTGATGTTTCCTGTCTTCTGACACTGATTTATTTTCCCTGCTTTGTTGGAAATGGTAGAGAAGGAAAAGACTTGAAAGAAAAGAAGATAATGAAATGTAAGGAAACAGGTTGTGAAATAGCTTTCATGAGAAAGATGTTTTTATGGTTCTCATTACTACTTCAAAATATAAAAAGCCAAATAACACTAATCTACTGAAGCAAGCCATTACTTTGATGTTTCTGTTCTCAAAAAGGCAGGCCAGGAAAAGCTAGAGAGTTGGGAGTAGCATGAAAAAGTTTCATTTAAAAAAAAATGTGTCAATCCACACACTGATTTTTTTTTCTTCCTTTCTTTTTTTTAGTTAGTTTGATACAGTGAAGTTTCCATGACCACACATAACAGTTCTCTCAAGTATAAATCACAAGTTTCCAAGTTACAGAGCAACATGCTGGGCAGTGGTTTCAGACCCTTTGTCTTGGTTAAGGATGATCAGAGTTGACTGTTTTAAGGAATGGATCCTTAGCTGTATCTGATTCAGTACCTGCCCATTATCTCTCATCTTAGTAATTCTGTCCTGGAGTTAAAAGTACTCTCCTATATGAGATAAAGCTTGCAAGAGAACACAGAAAGACTTTCTGCACTCTAGATTAAGAGAATTAGTCTCCAAGGACAGATGGGAGGGTTTCTTTCATAGAGTTCTAAATCACAATTGAAAAATTGTATTTAAGAATCTTGACAGAGATTATTTTCTTCCATTTTAATTTTATGCTTAGTGATTTTAAAAGCACTATAAATATTACAAATAAGAAGGGAGACTTTAGGATTTCTTTTGAACATGATACAGATAAAATTTTAGGCCACACTTTAATGAAAATATATACTATTATAGTAATAGTTTTGATATCACTGAAAAACTTGCTCAGACATGGTCACTGAATTACAGTGACTGTGAGTCATAAATAAAAAGGAATAAGTCAAAGAGCACAAATAAGTGCCTCCAGTGGAAGCACTGGGACCCTTCTCCCAGAAAGACAGGGAGACTTGGGATTTTAAATAGTCTTTCATTTGACTTTGCTTCTCAAGCTCAGAGTAACAGATTCATTTTTATTATCATTTAATATTTACCCACATAGTATAGATGAAATAAAATTATTTTTTAAATTAAAATTTAAAAGCTACATTGAAAAATCAGGATGAAAGGTGAGACAATATACTGATATATATTTTTTATGTCATTTGGCAAAAATGCAAACTGCAAGAGAGAATTCTCACAGGTGGTCAGGATCTCCTACATAATGCAGAAAGTGGAGACAACTTGGATTAAACAAATAGCAACTGCTTTTCAAAATCGCAAAAAGTAGTCTTTTAAAATCTGATTGACATATAGCAGTTGTTTCTGTGTAAATACATTCTTGGGTTTACTTTTCTTGGAAAGAACTATCTATTCAATGATACCACATCATTTCTCATGGAAAGATACCATAAATATTTTTAACAAAAACAAAGAGAACTTTGAAACTTCTCTTCATAAGCAGACATACTATCACTAGGAATACATTTAAACTCATGCAATTTCAAGTTATAAAGAAGGAATGCAGTATAGAAACATAACTTTCTTTTTAAAAGTAAATGTACAGTAAAAGATGAAGATTACTGTATATAGAGCAAAATAGCACTTAGTCTATTCTATTGCATCTTTTTTTTTTTCTAATGTCCTTGTATTAGAATGATATCATTTACTTACTTATGCCTATGTATCCACAGGTGAGAAAGAGAAAACATGTGATAGAAAAAAAAAGTTTTAACTATAGTTAAATTGAGATGGTTAGGAAAATATTAACAAGAATATGCTTTAAATACGTAATACTCATATCAAAAGAGAAAATATATGTGTCATATTTTTATTAATATGAATAATTTTAATAATGCTTTAGATAAAATCATATGACATTTATTTTGTTGTCTTATGACATAAAAAATTACATCTCGCTAGCTATTGGGTTGCTTGAAAAGTTCATTTGTTTTTTTCCATAGCCTCCTATGGAAAAATCCAAATGCATTTTTTGGCCAACCCAATATCTCCTATACATAGTTAAATTCACTTCTATTAAACATGGGTGACTTCAATTCTAAAACTGAATTTTAAAAATGAGATTCTAAGAATTGCTGCTATGTCCAAAGTGAACAATTAGTCCACATTGATTTATAAAGAAGACATAAGTCTCGTTTAGAAGGAATATGACTTTTACAGAGTAATTATTGAGTCTACATTAAGTTATTAATTATTTGTGAAACTTTTCTTTTCAATATACCTTCGTCTTTTTAAAAAATAGTTGATTATAATTCATTTGAAGATAGCTTATTTTATAGCAATTTATGGCTAGAATTCTTGCAAAAAGTTTTTGAATAGATAATTTAAACATTTGTCAAAGATCATTAAATGTGTAAAACTTAAAACACTTCAATAAATACAAATAAGAATTGCAAAATCCTCTACTATCTACTGCAATTTTTCAAATAAAATAGTCCTTAAGCATTGCTACTTGAAAATTATCACCATCAAACTATACTGATTCCCAGTGATGTTATAGTATTCCTGCTTTTTTAAAATAGAAGTTAGTATATACCCCTCACTAATTTCAAATAAAGCACATTCAACTTTACACATCAATCTTTTTTAGTTTTGAACATTTTAGAATCAAATCTTATTGGCTCAATTCCAACATTCACCAATAATTGAAAAAGAAACCATCATTCCAACTTATATGAAAGGAAAAAAATATTTAAAACATTAATCTTATATTATTACTCCAGAAGTAGCATGTGAGGCATTAAGTTCTTTTAAATTCAACTTTAGCGTTAAACTATATGTTAAATTCAGTTTTAGTATTTTAAAAACTATTTTCAATGTAACTTATATAATAGTATGAATACAGTTCATAATATTGATACATAGGTTCAAATACAATTTTCCCATTAAAAGATAAATTTCATAATTTTTGAGGCTTGCTTTATTCCTACTAGTAAATGCTACAAATGTAACACAGTAGAATGTGTTTTAGTCCCTCAATTCCACCAAATTTCAGTTAATAATAGTTTTTCTGGATTTAATTTAGTCATATTCAAAGTTTTATAATATCCTTGGTTGTTTTGCACTTCATGTTGATATATCTTGAATTTTTTTTTCCCATTTATGGGGGATCGGGATAGGGAATACATGTTAATCCATGGCTGATTCATGTCAATGATTTTTTTTTTTAATATGGCAGGTTAAATATCTCCAGAAAGAATCACGTTTGAGGTAGCATCATTAAAGACACTATAAAGCCATAAAATCTTTTAGGAATAATTTAAACTCTTTTTCAAAATGGTGATTTAGTATTGGTTAGAGATTCCAAATAGTCCAGGAGAAATACTATTATAAGTGGTTATATATGTGATATTAATTATTTATTTTCATTCAGATTTTAATTCTATTTTATAACATCAAAATAGTATCTTAGAAAAGCCTATTATTTTAGACCATAGAATGGACTTTTGATTACCAAACAGGAGCTGGCTTTTGGTACCTAACCAGAAATTACTATTTTATGACTGTGCTTTATTGTCCTCATTTTTTATGAGAAAAATATTTTCAGAAGTTTTAATTTGGGAGAAAAATCCTTGATTCTGAAGATTTAGAAATTAAATATAATACTCAAGCTACTCATCTGCAAATGTCTCCACAAGCTGAACACTTCTTTCTTGTTACTCAGTTTTTATTATTATAATTAATGTTTTTGTTAGTTTTTTGGTTATTACTCTCCAATTGAACTTTCTTAGGTCTTCATCTTAACAGTTTTATGTTTAAAAAATGTAATAATCAAAATAGGCTGTAAGCAGTATTTCCACATCAAGTTGAAATTTAATACTCACCACACAGCATCCATCAAAACCCATTTATTTCTAAAAGTCCCTGAAAAGTCTACTTACATAGTGCTGTCCCCGAGTTCTTCATAGAGATGAGCACCGGGAGGCGGCGGGGGTGGCGGGGGCATGGCCACCGGCGTCGGGGCAGGCGCTGCTGGTTTGGCCGCAGGCAGGGCGGACTGGATTCGAGCTGTCTTGGTGCACTCAGCTTGGCGTCTTTGGTAAAGTAAGGAGGTTTTGTAAGACTCATTTTAGAAATCATATACTTATCAATAGGCTACCTTTCAATAATAAAGTCCAGTTATCAGAGGAACTCAAAATTTTTTGTACAAATATTTGAACT